CTTTACCAAGAAAACTCCAAAAGGGTCACAAAGAGTCAGACATGGTTGAAATGACTGAACAACTGTCCTACAGCTAGCAGACCCTCACATCTAGTTCCCTTAGTTCCTATGATTCAGAGTCCCATCTGGCAAGGCAAAAACATCTTTTCCCTGCTACCTTTACCACTATCTTGTCCAACTTAGTCCTTCTCTTCCTATTCCTGCTTAGTCCTTATCCTCCTCTGAAACACCTTTATCTTAACAAAATCCTCTTCATGCTAGACCTTTGATTTCAAATGCTCTTCATCAGCCTGTGGAAACCTGGCTTTCTCTGAAAGACATCTCAATCCTGACCACCATCTGCATTGCTAGCTGCTTGTTCTCTCATGCTGAGACACAGCGGCCCAGACAGAGCTGTTTGACCCCTTTCTTTCCACCACTGCTTCTATCCCCTTTCTCTGCTACCGTCACTCAGCAACATCCTTTTCTGTGAGGGTCTCCACTAGACTGTCAGGGTCCTTGTTGCAGTCATCTATCTGCCGGCTTTCTGAAGAGGTTTGAGACCCGGCTCGTGATCCTCTTCTTCACAGAAATTGCAGCTCTCTGAAACAAGCCCTATAAACTCTGCCTGTCACATTTAGGGGTTTCAACATTCACACTGAGGTCCCTTAAAACACTGTATTCATCAACCTCAACATCAGGCCCTACATTTTCACTTTATATCAGCCACCCAAATGGGCAGCCACACCTTAGATTTCATCATCCCGCAAAGTAACTTTCAATCACAAGATACTGAAAGAAAATCCTCCGATCATAACTTCTTGTCCTTCCACCTCACTCTTTGCCTCACTCCTAGTACTACCACAAGTCTTAGCAGGAGCTTCTGTATCTTCATTCTTTCTTGTTCCCAGAGTCCACCAGTACTTCTTCCCTCCCTCTGAAGCCTTTTTTTCACACATCAACTAGGCACTATATTCTGCTAAAGTGTCTTGTCCCCTTTCTCTTTCACCATTCATACACTGTCAACCCTCAGTCTTGGACCATTCACACCAACCCCTCTATGATTAGAGGAAATCATAAAACTGTACTGACTGCATTCATTACAAATTCACATTAGCTAACTTTAACTGGGGTTTTACTGATACACTGAAATCCCTTCACTTTTTTCTGAATAATTCTCTATCATGAGCTACACATTCACTTTCAAACATTTTCAAGCCAACAAAGCCACCCCGCCACTTTTTAAAAAAACACCTCTTCTTTCACTTTACTGAAAAATCACAGTCATTCACTGTTAAGTTCATCTCTCCTGCTCCACAATTCAAAACCTCTGAGGAAGAAGCAACCCTTCTTGTCAAGGTTAACCACTGTATTTCGACCTTTGTCATCTATAAACCTGCTCTGATCTGTCTCTCCATCCTTTAAAAAAAAAACCAAAAAAACCTTTTTTTCATTCTCTCAAGTTACCCTCTGGAACCTTCCTCCCTTTCACTGTTAAAATCCCTGAAAGTCCATGCTCTCAGCCTTTTCTTTCCTAATATCCAGTCACTTCCTATAACCTATTGTAACCTGGTTTCAACCCCTCACTCTACTCAAACTGCTTACTAAACATGTCTTAACAGCTAAATGTGATAGCCTTTTTTCATTCCTCATCTTTTTTTTTTTAAATCTCCCTTCTGATTTTAATATTAACATACCTTCCTTCTGGATATTCTCCTCTCCCTTGGCTTCTCTGGTACAATGCTCTCCCTCTGGTTCTTCAACTTTTTTGATGGACCTTCCCAAATATTCTGAACTGTATTATCATCTACCTCCATAGCAGGAGTAATCTCTAAGATTCTGTCCTGGCATCTTTCTCCCCACTCCCACCCACTAGCATAGGTTCAATTACCTCTATATAAGGTGACTCCCAAAGCTATATATCCTAATCCCTCTCTCCTGAGTATCAGTCTCAAATCTTGAACTGTCTATTGGGCATCTTAACCTGAATATTCTGTTCGTATTTCCAAAACTGAACTCATTTATCATATTCCCCACTAAATCCAGGATGCCTCCAAATTTCCCTATTTCTATCAAGATCACCTCCATCTTTCCTGTCATCAGGTTGTTACCTTGGAGTCACTCCTTCTTCCTCATTCCCCATATTCAATCAGTTGCCAAATATTGTGTAAACTATCTTCATAACATTTCTCCTACCCCTGCCTTTCTCTCTATTCACTAGACCACCCTTCTATTTCAGGCCCTCAAGTCCCCTTAACTGGGACTTCTGTAATGTTGTATTGTCTCCCTGCCTCTCATCTGTCTTTCACACAGCTGCCCAAATAATCTTCCTAAGGTACAGGTCTGACCACATTACTCCCCTGCTCAAAATCCTTCAATGGTTCACTGTTGTCTCTAACATAAAATAAAAACTCCTCATTCCAGAACTTATGGCTCTCCACAATCTGGCTCCAACCTACCCTTCCCAGCACTATTTCACATAACTTCCTCCCTTCATGCATTCTACATTGCCATCAAACTAGAATAACTTTTTCCAAACTTTTTCTAAAATCCTTCTCCTGCCTCCATGAATTTGCACAAGCTGTGCACTCTCCCTAGAATAAATGAAAAAGTATTTATTAAATGCTTACTGTGTCTCAAATACCGTGCACTACCTCCTTACCTCAGCCTTTCAGAATTCTTATCTTTCTTCAAGGTTCAGCTCAGGTGCCATTTCCTCCTAAAAGCCTTTTTCTGAGGCATCAGTTGTGAGTGCTTTCTTCTTTCTCAAATAATCTTGTGTTATATAGGTACAGGTTGTATACACCCAATAAAATGTAAATGAGGACAATTCTGTCTTATTTATGTCTTTGTATGCCCAGTGCACAGCACACAGTAGGCACTTAGTAAATGCTAGCTGAATTGAACTAAGTTGACTGGGAAGAGGTGAAGAAGATAATTTGTGGGCATAATGCACTTAAGGAGGCATACTAGAAGAGCAGCACCATGACACTGGTATTGAAGGCAGAAAGGAAGAGGAGGTGGCCAAGGAAATTTATTTGCTAATTTTTTCCCTAAAATGGTGTCTGTACTCAGGAGAAAGAGAAAAAGGCTTCCTGTTCTTAGGACTCAGTTTACTATTATTTGTAGTAGGCTTCAGTTATGTTATGAGTTAAACTTTGAAAATGGCTGAGGATCCCAACCAACTTTGACTAATTTTACCTAGTTATATTTATGTGTCATATTAAAATATTCTATTTTTACTTCTACTACAAAAACAACACAACCCCTGATATATTACATACAAACACATAGACATATGTATATACACATCCATCTACAAACAGCCAGCTGAGAATGGCTGGTTGTCACAAAAATGTCTTTTGCCTCCCTCCTCCCTTGATGCTTGAAACTTCTTGCAAAAGAGGCAATTTTAGGTTTGATGCGAAGAAAAACTTCTGGATAATTAGAGCTTTCAAAAGTGGAATAAGCTGCCTGGGAGGTAGTGGGCTCCCCACTCATTAAAAGTCTTCCAGCAATGGCCAGATGGCCACACATCCTGTATATATGTTGTGGGGAAGACATCTGAGTACGGGCTGGACTAGATAGCCTCTGAGATTCCTTCCAACTACTTCTGTGATTGTGAAAATAAAATCCTCTCATCCCTTTACAAAATGTTATCTATATACATCAAATCAACCAAACAAATTACCTCTCAGATTTAGCAGTTATGGAGAAATTTCCTTTAAAAAAACCAGTATTAGAATTCTAAAGTATTATAAAACCGTTACTAGGCCCCCAAGACTGTCGACTTCATTTTAAGACAATGAAAATGAATTTAAAAAATACACTTTTCAGTACTGTCAAGTAGAGTTTAGGTTAGATCACTACCTTTCAAAAGTGTGCACTTCATAACCCATACTTTGCAACTTAATTTTCGGCGAAAAACTCTTAGTGATCTGTTCCTAATATTTGGTTCACACAATATGACATTAAACTTTTTTCTAAATGTTTTATTCCCTCAGTCTCTTTGTCTGTAAAATAAGAGAGCTGTGCTAAATCTATGACTCTATGATTATTCACTCAGCCTGGACGACAGTCGAACATCAGGATAAGGCCAAAAGGCTCGAATAGCACCACATACAATACAATTACTCAAAATACCTTTTAGGGGTGGGGGTTGGTAGGCATGCATGGCATCACAAGACATGGCTGAAGAACTGCCAGATAATTCTCTATTTCATCAAAAAGAATCTTTAAGAGGGCTGTAGGAGCCAAAAGCAATTCGGAAAATGTCAAACACCACCCACCCCTTAAGCATTTATAAAAAATGGGAGGGTAGAAATGGCTAACGTCATGGTCCAATTTAGCAGAGTATTAAGCCCCTTATTTCAGACCTGCAGCGTCTGAAATGTGGTTAAAAGCTCATCCATCATGACATTTTCCTCCTCTCTCCAAAGACCTCCTTTGTCTTCTCGGTCCCTGCCTGCACACAGGCAGCTCTCACAGTCCTGGCAGCACTTGCGCTTGGAAACCGGCCACCGAACTGAAACCGGGCCCTAACTTTGATTCCTTACAAATACTGCAGATTTACAGAATCCTAGAATATCACAGCTGGAAAGAGTAATTTAGAGATCATCCAATCCAACCGTCTCATTTTGAACAGTTATTACCCCAAGGAGGGCAATAACTTGCCCAAGGTCACTCAGCTGGTACAGAGTAGACAGACCTTGGTACTCGAACTCAAGGCTTCTAACTCCAAGCACAGAGCTCTTTTCACTCTATCCCTGGCCACCAAGTAAGAGGACCTAGCTGTCGTTTTAAGCGCTCCGAGGGACTTTGGGCCAGGTGTCCACACCGACAGCGCAAAGGACTGACGTCTGCTGCTCGGTCAGTGCCTCAGCACACCTGCAAGCCCCAGACGTGATGAAGCGCCCGAGGCAAGGCAATCACTATTTATTACGCGCCCCCTGAATGCCGCACCTGTGCCAGGCACGGGGTGGGGAGAAGAGAGAGGGAGACCCGGCCTTTGCCCCATTTACCTCCATGCAGCGGCAGGGGAGCCAAGACCTGGCCCCTGACCTCCACCTTGGGGGAGTCGAGGCCGTAGCGGCCGCGGTCGATGCGGAAGGTCCAGGGGCCGCCCCGACCGGGCTCATGCACGGTCACGTTGATGAGCGCCGTGTAGTACTCCTGGCTCGCGATGTCCGCCCCGGCCGCGCACAGGCACCAGTGCAGCGCGGCCAGGAGGACCAGGCCAGGCCGCCGGGCCCCCCTCCAGCGGCCGGCCATGCTCCGAGGGCTTGGGAAGGGGCCGGGGACGAGGCCCGGGGTCGGGCCGGGATGGAGGAACCGCGCGGAGAGGCCGCGCTGCGGGCAGGCCGGGGCGAGTCCGCGCGGCCCGCGGGGCCCGGAAGCGGCTCGGAGCCTCGGTCGGCGGGCCGGGCAGAGCCGGTCAGGGCAGGCGGCAGCAGCGGGCGGGCGGCCGCTTCTCAGCGCGGCTGCTGCCGGCCCATTCCCCCGCCCCGTCGGTCAGGGTAGGGAGGGCGCGCCGGGCCGGCCCGCTTCCCCCGCAACACCCAGGGCACGGATCGGCGACAGGTCCATGGAACCCAGGCGGGCGACGAATCCGCGGGGCCGCAGCGGCGGCGGCTCCTCCCTCCGCGCCCCGCCTCACTCAGTGCCTCTGCCTCTGGGCGGCGCGGCTCGGCGGCCACTCTGGCTGCTCGGGGCAGACGGCTCAGCTCCGGCCCCGGGCCAGCGGCTCCGCCTCGGACGGGAAGGCGGGACCGGCCTGGCAGGAGCGCCGAGGGGCGGGGAAGGGCGGGGTGCTTCTGGGGGCGGGGCGGCAGCGCCTCCCTTCTGGATTCTCGGGAGGAAAGCGAGGGCGGGGGTGAGTGAGGAGCTGGGACTGAGGCGCGGCCTGCGCAGCTGACCCTGCGACTAAAGCGCCTCGAGGACCGGCCCGAGGCCGCTCCCGAAGGGAAGCAGGGAGAGCAGGGCCGAGGCGGGGGGTGGAGCGCGAGTCGCCCGGCTGGCTCCAGACGAGCCTCCACGCCCCCCAGGCCCGACAGCTGGCGCGCAGGCGCAGTGGCCTAGAACTGCCCTTACCTAAAGCCACGAGGAATCGTGTGAAAGGAGCGGTCCTTGGGGGCGTCGGAGAAAAGCGCCCTAACTTAGAGCCACCGCCTGCTCGTGTACCAGGTTGCCCCGGGAACTGACGCGAGGGAAGAGAAGGGGCGAAGAGGTTAGGATATGAAGTGGCAGGCGAAGAGGATGAGCAGCTCTCACTATAAAGTAATATAATGGATATCGGGTTTGAATCCTGAGGACCAGTGTTCAAGGTCATGTTCAGCTGCTTGCTAGTTTTAACCTTGGCCAAGTGGCTGAGTCTCTCGACTTTAGTTTACCTATTTGTAAAATGAGGACATTGATATAGAAGTGATGGGGAGGGTGATTTCCAACTATAAATTTTGTGGTTCTTCCGGTGTGGAGTGGCCCCTCACTACCTACCAACTCTAGTTAGGGAAACGCTCCACTCTCACCACCGACCCCCCTCCCCCCCGTTTGGATTTGATGGATTTCGTGCCTTGCACTCCACACAGGCATTCTGCCAACCCAGCTTGTCCCATTCAAATAAAAAAAAAAAAATGTGTTCAACCAAAAATGGCTTATTCTACTTTTCCACGGCCGTTGCCAGTGTTGGTGACCAGATACAGTAAGTGTTAGTTGAGCTGCGTTGAAACATTTGCTGTTAATGATAATGTTGACTGGAGATTAAACAAATCAGGGATAGGGAAGTCTGTTCAATTTCCCTCAAAAGATTTGGGGGTTTTAATCCCAAAGCTCAGTGGAATTCTCAATAACCTTGCTCTCAAATAAGCTAAAGAGTCAGTGGGCAAAACTTTATGTTGCTTACAGTACCAGCCACTGTGCTAAAAGCTGGGGAATACAAAAAAACACCCCAGAAACAATCTTGACCTTCAAGTTCCCATTTTAGTGGAGGAGATAACATATAAATAACTAGGTACATTCAAAGTACATTGATAGAGAGCAGATGGAATGTAATCTGAGAGGAGATGGTATTAGCAGCTAGGGACACCTGAAAAGGTCTGCAGAAGGTGGGAGTTGAGCTGAGTCTTGAAGGAAGTTGGGGAAACTAGGAGTCTGGTAGGAAGGGAAAACATTTCAGACACGAAGACTCCAAAGAACTGGGAGATAGAATGTTCTTTTCAAAGAACAGCAAATAGGTGATTGCAGATGGATGATAGCAGTTATGGAGGAGAGTGAAGCATAAGAAGATTGGAAAGGTTGAAAAAGACCATTTAGGGCTTTAAATACCACAGAAGTTTAGATTTAATCATGGAAAAAACAGGGGGCCACTGGAGTTCACTGAAGGGGAATGGTGCTGGTGGTGACATGTTAGGGAGGTAATTGTGCTGCCATTCTCTGTTCTCATAAGACCCTTTCTACAATACTGTGTTCAATTTTTGGTGCCATGTTTTAAGAGGAGTCTTGACCAACTGGAGCCTCATATATAGGACAGGAAGCAGGATTCACACTTCTATCCTGACTCTTTCTTTTTTCTCTTTCCCCCAATTTTTAGTATTTTGTTTTTCCCCAGTTACGTGTAATGGCAATTTTTTTAATATTCATTTTTAAAACTTTGAATTCCAAATTCCCTCCCTTACTCCTCCCCCCCCATTGAGAAGGCAAGCAATTCTATATAGGTTATACACGTGTAGTCATGCAAAACATATCCATGATACTGACTGTTTCTTTCTAGAGAATATGCATGCATGGATAACTTAACCAGCTCTGGAAAAATCCCATAATGGCACCCTGAAAGACAATAGTATTGAAGAGAGGGAAGGCCTTGAAGTCTAGAAGATTTAGGTTTGAAGTCCTGTCTCTGACTTATATTAATTAGCTATGTGACCGTGGGCAAGTCACTAAACCTCTTACTGTTCCAGGCAACTAGATAAGTTACAGATGAATTGCTGATCTTCATTGGTGGAAGGAGTTCCCACATTTCTGAGTTTAAGTAATGTTTTGCTTTTCTGTTTATATCCTTAGCACTGAGCACAGTGCTTTGCACATAGTCAGCATATAATAAATGCTTTCCTTCATTCGGAGTCAGATGAAATCACAGGTCGAATGAAACTCATGAAGGGTGGTTTAGGAATAAAAGTTTCCTGCTGTTAATGTCCTTTTTAAGGAGAGACACTGGTCATTTGTTGAGAATATGGTAGATATTTGGATACTGGCTGGAATAGATAACCTCTCATGTTCCAGTCATTCAGGTTATGAAGAGTCTAGAAACTTGACATATGAAGAAGAGCTGAAGGAACTGGGAAGCTTTAACTTGGAGAAAAAAAGAAAATTAGAATTTATAGTTGTCTTCAAATATTTAAAGGAATACCATGTAGAAGAGAATAGATTCTGGGTGACTCTGGGGGCAATACCTGGACAAAAAGAGACATACATAAAGGGATCTATGTAAAGTGCTAAAAAAAAAAAATCGGAGGGATGTGAAAGGCATAAAAGCAAAGTCTTGTACTTGGGTCCAAGAATTTTAGAAGGTAGAGTCCTTTGGTGAATTATACTTCCTTTTCCTAGAAGGGGTGAAAGGACAGTTTAACTCAAGGAACATTTATTAGGTTCCTGCTACAAAGATGAAGAATAAAAGTCCCTGCTTTCAAGGAATTTAGGATCTACTGAGGGGATATGTCTACACAAATAATTACAATAATACAAGGAGATATGTCTATACAAATAATTATAGCAATACAAGGTAAAGTATGACAGGGACAAAGGAGGCAGCTGAACAGATTTAGGAGAATTTCAGCTAAAGAGTCAGGAAGTGCTTCAATGAGGAGGAAAATTGGGTTGAGGTTAGATACTGAGGTCACACTGATTATAGGATCAGAGTGCTTGTCCTCCCATCAGCAAGCTCTCTCTCTCTCTCTCTTTCTTTCTCTCTCTCTCATATCTCTCTCTTCTCTTTGAGGAATACATACACAAGCCCCTTCTCTAGGTTTAAGGGTGATAATGATAACCAGAAATTCTAAAAAAAAAAAAACAATTGAATTGACCAATGAGAATAACTTAAGATCTAATTTTGATCTTAGAACTAGAGGAGAAAATCAGGAAATGGAGTAGTGAGACGCCCAAGATCATACAGGCAATTAGTGAATGGCACAGTCAGGCTTCAAATCCAGGTCTAGTGACTCCCTAGATCAGCTCTTTCCATCACATTATAATCTGTCTCTGTGCCATCTCCTTTGGCCACTTTGATTGGCAAGGTGAGCACTGGCTAGATCTGGGAAGCTTTTCAGCTCCTTTCTGGTATGCTATGTGTCTAAATTAGCTGCTGGCCATAGCAATATGTTGAGGAGGCCCTGAATTAGGCGCCACTATCCAAGAGCATATGAGATCTCCACAGCATATATTTGCTAGTTGGCTAACATTGAAGGAATAAAACCACTCATTTTGTCTACAGCATGTCCTAAGCTGTAAGTGACCTGGAGAGGCCCTCAGAAAGAGGTATGTGGAGTCATATGAGGTATTAAAAAATTTTTTTTGGAGTATTTGTTTTTAAAAGTTGTCTAGTGACATGAACTGAGTGCTTATAAGTGTAAGATGTCAGACGTTCCAGTAGGGTGTGTGTCTTAGGTTTCTGGGTGAGGCCAAGGTAAATTAGGTAAGCTGGCATAAGTATAAGGGAGGTTGATCAGGAAAGTCCCCTGATTAACTGGATGAACTTCCAGGAGAGTGAGCCTTTGCCTAAGACTTTTGAAAGTGCCTTTTCTTTTAGATTATGGTCATGAGCATTGGCACATAAAAAGAAAAACACAATTCCTGGTTAGGTCTAGGAGACTGAGGTTGCCCCAAGTTAAAATGGCTGGTTTGAAGCTATCCCTTGACTCTTCATGGAGACTAATGATTAGAGCTGCCCCAAAATGATTTGGTTGGTCAGAGGTCTGGGGAAAATGAAAAACTGTTATCATTCCTTTTTTGCTTTCCCTCTTAGGGTGAATCTTGCTTCCAGTTTAGGAGAGGCCTGTGTGTCTACATATCTTCCCATAACCAGGAGCTGTTAATGGATTGAAAACAGATTTTTTCTGGCCCCAGAAATGGCAGCAACCAGGGCAATGGTGAGTATCCTGTAGGTGCACATACCAGAGGCACTGAATGGCCTTGCTTGGATAGCCTGAAAGGAGAGTTTATGTGTTCCTTAACCCCAACTTCATGTGTAAAGGAAGAAGGATCTTGATTTTCTAATCATTACATAATGACACTAAAAT